CTCTCCCCAGCAGCGCTGCTCTATCTGTCACTGATCTGGCCAACAGCGAGCAGCTCTCTCTCTCTCTCTCTCTCTCTCTCTCTCTCTCTCTCATATGCACACACACACACACTCTCTCTCTGAGGCTGTCCCCTGAAGAGAGCTGCTCTCTCACCGTCGGAGGACGACATCACGGAGATCAGTCTGCAACAATGGCTGCCTGTGTCTGACACTGACTGACTGCTCGACATATTGACACACTTTTAATTAGCAGAGCCTAGAAAGCAGATCAAAGCCTCGTTAGTGACCACTGCTGACGTGCACTCCGTATCATCACATTCAGTGAACATTCAGCATGCTCTTTGCACAATCAACTCTAAGTTGTTTGGCCACAAAACCTTAACTCGGTGCCGCCTTTTGTCCGAGTGTAGATGCATCAGTCTGTGGAAAGGAAAGTCAGCGCCTACGCATCAGTGCATCAGATCAGTAACCAGCTGAAAAACTAGTGAGCTGATGTTTTTGTTCCGATTTCTGTTTTCAAAAATGAACTTTTACAATTGACTTGTCCTGGTTGTTTGGGTCCCTCCCCTGCAGCTGGTCTCCCTCTGTTGGTGTCCAGCTCCTTTGTTTGTATTGATTTATCACTTGATTGATATCAGCATGTTGTGTTCACTGTGTTTTGGCCAGTGGGAGGAAAAACCACTTAAACCCTACTGCAGAAAAATTGCTGCAGGTCATTAGAAAGATCTGAGTGTTTAGTTTTTACAGGAGTCAGTGAAGGAAGAACAGGACACGTCTTTGTCCTCAGCCTGACTGACTAATCACAGTATACTGACGATTTCTAAATAAATCCCTTGTGTACTGTTGAGGAGAAAATGCCACATTAAACACAAACCAGGTGCACATCCAGAAACTAGTAGAGCTGGTGGGTCAAAAAACAAACCAGAGGCCGAAGTCGGAGAGAAGATGTGCACGCTGCACTGAGCTCACAGCAACGTCGCCTGAACCGAGATCTGACGAGGATCTCTGTCCTGTCCAGTCTGCTGCGAGCTCAGTGCAGGTCACGGCAGAGGGATGGATCAGCACAGACGGTCTGACACATCACATGTCTACTTTGATTGTCTCCTGTGTCTCATCGTGATGCAACATCCTGCGTTTTGTTTCTTTGCCTGCTATGAAACTTGAGAAATGGCCCCAAAAATTCAGTATCAATAACAAGTGAACACACAGTCATGAGATGGAAACAATCTTCTAATCAAACAAAATGCTGAATCAGTCCAGTCGAAGGATGAATGACTGCTTAGCTGACTGGTATGATGCACAGCGAACTGGGACACGGCTGGCTGGACTCAGATTTCACTCCAGACTTTTGACATGCATGTTCATCATAACCATTTTGACTACATTTGCTGTTTTACAAGTTCAATTTGTGTCTTGTTGGGATTCGGTGTTTGCCCCAAAGCAAAGTGAGGAGAAAGCTGGAACTAGCCTGCTGCTGGGGTGTCATGGTGTCAGCAGGGGGCGCTAGTTCACAGTCATCTCTGGCTTTTAGTTTGGTGGAGAAGGTTCTGTCTATGTTCACGTATCACTTTCTGTGTACAGTCTGAGCTGATTCTTTCTGGGATGGGGAGGATGTTTCTGCTTGTTGTTTCACATGTATGATTCTTAGAACTTGTTTTAGAGGGACTTTAAAGGTTTACACAGGTCACACAGAGTTTCTAGCTGCATCATCTGGTCATGTGTCCGAATCCGAGCGAATCAAGTGGAGCTGAATCAAACATGATGCTGTGATACTCATGGTTCAGTGTTTTTGGCCTTCAGGCTGTGCTCACCTGGGACGTGTTCTGTGCACATTTATTTCTGGTTTTGTTTTATTCCTTCCACATAAATAAATTCTTTCAACTGAGTTTTTCCTCATTTCTTTGTCAATGGATTCAGGCAGCCAACACTAAATGTCCTTCACAGATTTGTTCAGCAGCGTTTTATCACTGGTTGAGGGTAATTGCATTTAGCTACGACATCTGTGAATCACTAAGCTGTTCCTGGGGCTCACCCAACAGCAGGAGTTATCTCAGCACCAGCCACAGTGAGTTCCTGTCAGTTTGGCTGGAGAGGAAGTCACACACTTGAAGTTCAGATTGTCTCTACACAACCTGTTGCTCACTGTGGAAACTTCTGCTAGAATTTATTTGACTTACACTGGAGATGAATTACATAAGTGTGATTTAATTGGTCAGGCGTGGGCTGCAGCACGTCAACCCTGGCCTCTGGCGTCAGGGGACATCTGCAGACAACCCGGAGGTGCTGGATAGAGTCCATGATGAGTTTTTTATTGTCAGGAATAAAGGTTTTCATCACTTGATCTTCAGGCTCTTGAAAACTTAAGATGAGAGTTAAGTCTCGTTAATGTACACACACTGTGTATAATTAGAGGAAGAAGGAGACCAGACATGTAAACTCTAAGAGAGGACTCTCACACAAAGAACACTTGTTGAATAGTTTTATCTTTAAAGGTCCCTGATGGAAAAAGCCTCAGCAGGTTTTGGCTCCTATCTCATGATGACCAGCGTCATCTTAACCCCGTTTCTAAGAAACGTCTCGGTTATCCCTGTTTCCAGCCCCCTGACCTCCAATTGACCATTATGTTCTAATCTCCTAGTTATCATTTATTTATCAGCCACGTTTCCATGTTAAAGGTTAATGGCCGCTGTCTAAACACGAAAAAAAACCCTGAATTTCATAATCATGAAATTATTTCCAACATGTTGGGGCTCCATAAAGTAATAAAAAGAAACAGCCTACAGTGAATACAGAATACAATAGTACAAAGTCAAATAAAATACAAGGTTGCAAAAAGCTGCTCTTTACGTCAGCAACACGGTAATCACTACAGAGGATGTTTAATGTCATCAGCAGCTTCTTGAACGTGAGTGAGTCCAAAATCCTTATTTCATTTGGCTATTTCTTTATAATTGTATATGTCTTTATATAATTGGTTATGTCTTTATAAATGTGCTTACTGATCAGCAGCAGCTGTTTGTTAAACCGGTTCAGGACTAGATTTCATAGCCTTTTTTAAACCATGACGATGGAGCCATTGGTACCGACTTCCTGCACACTGTGTTCAGGCCTCTGCCATAAAACTGGTCTTATTTCAGTCTTTGTGCCAGGGAGGAAAAGTTTTCTTTTTATTAATTCTCTATAATCTTGTTCTTTGCTGAATGTTCTCTTTGTCCTTCTCTCCCTTCATTTGTTATTAATTTAGTTTCATTTCAGGCGCAGTCCGTCTTCAGCCTGAGGCAGCGTGTGTACAAAACCTAGAAATATTGGAAATGATCCAGCAAACGTGGTTTTGTAAAGAATGGCACAATGTTCTCCACAAAATATTTACATAAATTTACATTATGATTCTTTCAATTTCACTCAATGTTTACTCTGCAAGTTTATTTTGACAACTGTACAGGGACCCCCCCGGTGATGATGTCGTCATTAATGACTCCATTTGTTTAGCCCTCAGCTGTTTCCTGACCTTTGAGGGGTTTCTCTCCTCCTCTCTGAGAACTTGATTTACGTTGCTACACAGATGCTGATATGGGATGATTCAGAAAAACCCCAGATTAAAGACAATTCACTGAAAATAGTTTTTGCAGTAAATGTGGATTGGAAAGACCTCGAGTCTCCCACATTGGACTTGTTGACTGAAAAATATCACTTTAGTT